AGGAAGCTCAGTGAGGATTGAGCTCTTCTACGAAATTGAGCTCAGGGGCAAAGAATTTCTTAGTTCAGAAATCGATTTTGAAGAATGTGTATAGATTAGATTTAAGACCAGACTAAGATGAACCTTTAGAACACAGAGGCAGTTTTCACCTGGTATCTGCCAAAACGAAAGCATTGTTCCAACTCAGCTATGACCTATAAAAATCCTATTGCTTCATTCTTGAAGTATGCTTTGCATTTATTAACTTGCAGCTGTACTCAAACTCCCACGCCACTGTGGAGAAAAGAGGGGTGGGGTAGCTGTGGCACGGTAAGGGCCACTGCGTTGAGCATTAGGTCAGAGAATTCTCGAGAACTTAGGGAGACCCTAGGTATCACTGCCTACTCCTTAACCTCCAGTTTCTACCTGAGAAAATGCTGCCCCAAAGCTACCAGAACCAGGACTGAAGGCAGGTGTTCTGCCTCCCAGTTCAGTGCTATTTCTACTCCACAATATTCCTTTCATTTTAAAGCTATTATGTTATTTTTATAGTTTGAATGGCTCTTGACATAATATTTGTATTGGGGCTTACCTATTTATATCCAAAATCATTTTCCATTTACTTGCTTAAGTTTATAAGGAAGCCATCCCATTCTTTGGGATGTTACCACTGGGACTGGCGAGCTTGGCATTTATATGGGAATGGGATTGTGGGTGGAGGAAAAGGGGCTTTAGAGCTTTGAGAAATTTTCATTTCTTTTACAAAAGTAATTATTATGGAGCAAGAGGACCTCAACTTAGAAGCGTAAGTTGCTTAGGCTTCAGATTCTTAAAGGGGGCGCAATGCCTTTAATATTCTATCTCTCTGTTTTCTCCATTAGTAATTCCATTGAATCTCCTGGTTTTAACTATCACCTCCAGGAAAACAATTCCAAAACTACCTCCAACTCTCATTTCTTAAGTATCCAGCTCCTTTTTCCAACTATGCCCTGGACATGTTGTCCAGCTCCACCACCACCGCCCCCCACAGCGGCTCAAATACAAAATGTCCACAGGGAAATCTCTGTCTCCACACCCCTGGCACCCACACACTGGTAGCTCCTGTATTGCCAGTTACCATTTAGTCTCCCATCACTATCAATCATCCTCCTATGAGGCTCAAAATCATGGTGCCAGCTCCTCTCACTAGTGCCCATTGCCAGTCTCTACTGCTTTGCTGTACCTGCCATTTGGGCCCATCCCCGTCTCGTCTCCTGTGGACACCAGCTGTGCTCCTGGAGCCTAGTGGCGATAGGTTCCCTTTTCTATTCTTTTTTTCCTAGCTCTTCTCTCAACCCGAAAACCCCTTTCACCACTCTATGACTGTATCTTACGTCAACAGTGTACTTGAATGCCGGTTCCACATATCCGTCCTGCTCCACCCAGGCAAAAGTATTTCTACCTGCCCTGAATTCCCAAAGGCCTTACCCCCTACCTTTCTTATGGCCCATACTTGTTACTTAATAGTAGTACTTGTTGAGCATATACTGTGTGTCAGGCACATGCATAGGCATTTTATATACATCTTCATTTAATCCTCTTGGCAGCCCTAAGACCTACAAGGCCTCTACCCCAGAGGTAGTTTTGGAGACAGCTTGAACATGGGGACTTTTAGACTCCCTGGTGACCCCACTGTGTGGCAGATTGAGAAGCACGAGTGAACTCCAAACCCATTAGCCAGCTCTTCTCCAATGTAGGTATCACATTTGGAGCTTTAAAAAACAGATGCTGGACTCCAGCCCAGTCTAATAAGCTGCAATCTCTGGGGGATCGAGCCTGGGAAGACCCTGTGCTAACAAAGGTTCCCAGGTGATTGTGTCACAGACCCAGGATGGAGAAGTACTTTCTCCATCAGGCACTGTGTCATCTCCCAATGTAACTATAGTACAGGTGGTTATATGTCTACTCCCACTATGTAGTCCTTAGACTCTGAGGGCAGGTTTACATTTGATTCACTTTGATCTGTTCCCCAGGCACCTAGCGAGATCCCTTGTACGTATGTAATATGTTTTAGAAACTTTTTAAAAATGCCCTTTGATGACCTTATTAAGAAAACAAGGAACGCCTTTACAGACTACTTATTCTCTTCATACTAGGGTTTTAAACTCTAATATACTAAGCAGATATCCCTTTCTCATCAGTAACACCCTCCCTCACCCTCAGATGTACATATGAACAAAGACACCCTCTGGTTGTTCTTTGACGTTTCTTGACAACTATTTAATTACTACGTTGGTAATTTTCTTAGTTTCCTTTTTCTTCTTAGTTTGTGCTATTTCTCAGATTTTTCAAGTAACCTGAGCTTCTGATGATAAGTGAAGTCTATTTAAAGGTTTACATACAGATGATGGCAGTAAGCTGGCATAGTGTTTCATTCCCTACGAACATGCATGTTCAATGTGCACAGGGATAAAGGTGAAATGACACACAGGACCTAAAACCTGGACTTTGGCTCTTGGTTTTGCCATTTCCAAGCCAAGTGACTACACGGGGAATGAACTTTCCAGAGCCTCTTCCTCACCTAAAAACTGGAAGGGAAAAAAACCTAACATAGACCCTCCAAGCTTTCCTTCCAAATATTTTAAAGGATCATAAAATTTCGGAACTCATTGCCAGGCTTTTGGTCAAGATTAAATTAATAATTGATCTGCGTCCTGATTACTCAATTGACATTTTTAAAGGCTAGTAGAATCATAACGAAACTTGCAGACTTCTTTACAATTTAGAAAGTGTTCCCCTCCAGTACCTCCTTTGGTTTTTTGTAACGTAACTGCAGAACAGTTATTGCCATTCCAGAGAAAATGAAATTGAGACACAGAGAGTTGACTCAACCAGGGTAATAGAATCAGAAAGTGGCAAATCTAGACCCCTCCCGGACCCCAACTGTGGTCCCCGGCGACACCTCGATGGCCACAGGCAAGGCTGGAGATGGAGGCCAGGCAGATCGGACACAGACAGGTGGCCTGTCTGCCTCCCCAGAATGTTTTCTAGCCCAGACACCTATAAATCACTTTAGAATAGGATACTCAGCAGGGATTTATTTAGCATATCATTTCTGGGTGTGTGTTTTCCTGAGCACTTATAGATCCGTGTTTTTCCAAGAAGCTGAGTGTTCCTGATAATACAAGACAGATCATGATAAATGAGCATCTATGTAAGCCTGGCTGAGAGGAGCACCAGGAACCGTTCATGCCCTCCTGTGACATTAATCCCGTTTCTTTTGGCTATTTCTTTATTAGTTAATGAGGTCTTGCAAAAAAAAAAAAAATGTGTCTGTGATGGTGTTTTAGAATCCTTGCCTCTAGGAACATTTTCAAATATTCATAACGGAGCTCGTCCGACCAAAGCTTAAAGAAGAGGTGCATTGAGTATGAATTTAGTTAACTTCAAATGTGGGTGGTCTTAAAACTGCTCCTGAAATAACCCAAATAATCCTCCTCATTGGCGTTTCCAGATGGGCGGCTCTGGGCGCAAACGCGAAGCCGGACGGGGGAAGAGGTATGATTCAGAACAGCCCGACTCGAAGGGCAGCCTGCAGCTTTGATCCTACTTCCTGACTGACAGCAGTGGGGCTGGCTTTGGGAACACTGAATAACTTAAGGGAAACAAAAACAAAATGAGAAAGGAATTACCAGTCGAGCCCCTAGGAAGGAGAGCAGACACCAGACACCAGATCTGCTCCTGGGAAGCCAGAGGCCTGCTTCCCACTTGGGTTCCTTGTGGCAGAGAGGGGAAAGGAAAATCTCAGAAGCTGGGTTGGCGCTCAGGAGGGATGCACTTGGAAAGGCAACCAAATGTGGAAGCCAGGTTAGCTACTAAACTGAGCTCCGGCCCAGTGAATCGCAGCGATTACCTCTGCAACCTGGCTTTAGAGGGCCACAATGTCGCAGGGACCTAGGAACACAGAACACGCGCGCGCACACACACACACACACTTGTCTACACCCCCTACACATACACCTGACTTCTATCATTCCCAAGCACAGCCACACAAATCCTTCCCACTTTCCACCCTTTCATGATGTTGCTGCCCCAAAACATCATTTCATGAAGTTAACACTTTGATGCTTCTAAGCAAAGGAACTTTTTCAGAAGACGCCTTTTGTTTGGTTCTGGGTGGCCTGGACAATCTAGAGCATACTTTGGCTAAGAAGCAGAAAATCATAGCCTGATAGTCTCCTTCCTGTNAGCAAAGGAACTTTTTCAGAAGACGCCTTTTGTTTGGTTCTGGGTGGCCTGGACAATCTAGAGCATACTTTGGCTAAGAAGCAGAAAATCATAGCCTGATAGTCTCCTTCTGCACAAGTAACCAAAACAAGTCCCCAAAATGGAACAAATTCCTGTTCCTTTAGGAGGTCAAGGAACAAGGAATGAGGGGCCCAAGTAAGTCCTCTGAGCTTCACCCTCGTGGGCACTGCGCTAAATCCCAGTATTACTGGCTACCCAGTGCTGCCTATGAATATCTGCTCGAAAGGGTGTATTCCTCTCCTTGTCACTGAGTCTTTTATTCATGGAGTCTTTGGCCTTTTGTCATATCAACTCCAAATGAAGGACAGCTCTGAGCCACACTTTTGAAAGAAGATGGCCATGTAATCCTACTCAGTGCAGAACTGGAGAGAAACAGACATCATCCATTAACAAGGGCTGATCGTGCAAATATTTCCTTTCACAGCTTAGTGCTTGACTTTCTGGTCCTTTTATCTGGTTACAAACTTCCTCTAAATATAAAATTAAGAAAAAGTTCCTGAAAAATAGCAACAGTGTAGCACAATAATAATGCTGCCTTGAGAAATGCTCAGACTGTAATATTTCTCTTTTGTCGCTTGCCTTGCGGACACTGAGGACACTTTGACAGCCACTATGATTGCAAAAGATACAAGCTAATGTTAGCTGGCCCGATGTCATTCTGCATTTCTCCAAAGAAACACCGTTACATCCCAGATGTAAATTTGACTGTGTCCTGTGCTACTGTTCTATTACAGGTGATTCACATAACAGGCCGGCTACGACTGAGGGTGTCACTGTCCCACGGGAGGACCGTCCCCAGCCAAATCATGGGTCTCGTGGTCGTGGCGCACGCCCTGCCTCCCCCTACAATCAATGAAGTCAGAATCGACTGCCATATGTTCGTCACTCGAGTAAATATGGACCTCAATATCATTTACTGTGAAAATAGGTACTTGGTTTTTGTTTCCCTTTGCCCTGCTGTATGTTGCACATTGTTGAGGGTTGGTGTTTTCAGCAGGCTGAAGGATTTTACTCTCCCAATGAGGCTCATTATAAATCCTGATCTTATTTTTAACTGCTGCTTGGACTGACACTAAGAATGCTTTTTATTTAAAATTTGCATTGCTGCCCCGATTTACATTAGGGATAACAATGGAATGAATCGGGGTACCCAGACATCCATGTGCTATAATTAAGGCCCATTTTGGCCAAAAACCCAAGGAGAGAGCAGGCTGAGACATTATTAATAGGGAAAAATGATGCAGTGAAGGGTATCTCCTGATGCCTCAGCCAGACCCAGCCTCACGATGGTCAGGGCGTCACGCTCGCTGCCTTAGTCAGCTCAGGCTGCTGGAACAAATGACCACAGACCAGTGGCCTAAACGACAGACAGGTGTTTCTCACGGCTCTGGAGCTGGGAAGTCCAAGGTCAAGGTGCACGCTGATAAGGTTCCCGGCGAGAGCCCCCTGCCTGGCTTACGGCCGCCTGCCGTCTGCCGTGTCCTCACACAGGGAGACGGAGAGCTGTGGGCTTTTCTTTTCATAAGGACGCAAATTCCATCACAGGGGCTCTATCCCCATGGCCTCGTCTAAACCTAATACCATCACACTGGGGATAAGGGCTTTAATATAGGAATTGGGGGGAGGGGGACGCACACATTTAGTCCACAACACATACAGAAAACCGATGAGCCCCCTAGAGAACAAAAGGACAAAGCTATTGCATTGGGATTCTGATCCCGATACAGGTCATCAGACTGGTCTGGGGCCTTCTACACATATATTAAATAAAACTTGGTAATTCTCTCTTTCATAAATTTAAAAAAAAAAAAGATGACTCATCGTGTAAATGACTTGGCAGTCCTTCCTGAGGACTGAGCTTTTATAAAAGGACTTTTTGGCCTTTGGTTAAAAGTTCACTTTTTTCCATTAAGCACAAAGCAAGGGACAAGGAAATGGGACAATGCCCCCGCAGACCTTTCACCTAGAAGTCACCAGCCCGGCAGGCTAATTGAAAGAGGACAGATTGACGGGATGTGGGCCGAGGGGGAAGGACCTGTGCAGGTGCGGCTGCTGAAGGAGGCTGTCCGTCCCGGGCCACGGGAGGAATTACCGAGTGGCTGTTGAGAGATGCTTTGTGGCGCAGTGTGGTAGCCATGAATACAGTATATGTTCCCTGAGCCCTGTGCGTGCCTAGGGAGGAAAAATGAAAGAGCTGAATCGTTGAGTAATTGACCTCTTCAGGGCCGAGCCAAGAAGCAGACGGACGGCACCTGCGTTCGGTCCCCTGGGACGTGCTAGAGGCGTTGCGGCTGCGCTGGAAACGTGACCATCCGAGTCAGATTCGATTCAGAGGGAAGAATCCACCCGTGACTCTTACTGTTCAGTGGGGTAGAAGATGCCACCAAACTGGCACTCTCATTTAATAAGTAACTCTAAGTCTATTTTTCAAGCTTTGGTGGCATTTATTAAAATTTTTATCATCGTGACTGTACGGTTGGCTACGTCTAAGGTATTCTGGAATGGCCACAGAATATCAGGAAAGACAGGTAGCCAGATGACTGGCTAGAGTTGGCAAGGAATAATAAAGATGACTAACACATATTGAACACTTACTACACACTTGGCAATGCGCAGAGCTCCTTGTAGGGGTGGGGCAAAAGTAGGTTTACAGTTGTTCAGATGGAAAATAATACAATAATTAATAAAGACTGATACACAAATAAACTATGTTTCAGGTACTCACAACTGTAAACCTACTTTTGTCCCACTCTGCATGCACCATCTCACTTAAGCTTCTGGACGGTTCTGTGAGACAGGTCTGGCCATTGTCTCAATCCCCCTCAGGCGATTTCAGCTGAAAGAAAAAGGTTAAGTGATTTACCTGAGGCCAAGATTCAAACCCAAATCTGCTAGATTCAGAAAGCAGGCGCTTAGCTACACCCTGTGGGGTCTCCCTGAATTCCTTGTCTCTTATTTTCCTTCACAAGTCCAGCTGGATGGCAAGGAGTTGTCAGAATAACCGCCTACGGGGACCTTTCACACATATGCACCCACGAAAAACACAATCCACAGCCCAGAAAGCTCTTTATTCACTAACTTAAAATGTAGAATGTCAGAAAGTCAAAGGATAAACTATGGCATTGCTTCTTTGAGAACATACGTCAGCTCCCTTGATTTAGGTTACCACCACCAATCCCTCCAAAAAAACAAACCAATGGAGGCTCGTCTTAAGAACCTAACATTTACCCAGTGATCGTCCGCTCCCAACACTTACTTTTCGTTCCTGCGATCACAGATTAATTCTTCTGACGCTCTCCATGGAACCAAGTGCCTTACGGTGCCACTCTAGTCATTGAGATTATTTTCTGTGACCACTTTAAGGTTTCTTTTCTTCCCATTTAAAAAGTTTTCCACAACCCCTTATTAGCCAGTACAATACAGCATTATTTCCTAACTGAAGAGGACAGTCATTACTATAAAGACCCGTGTGGAAGGTGACTGTATATTTGATCTAAGGGAGAAGCTTACCGTGTGTCAGGCGCTAGGCTACGTTCATTCCATTCACTAACCTCCTCACCAGCCTCTTAGGCTGTTTCACATATGAGGAAACTGAGGCTGAGTGCAAGAGGCCGTGGGATTCTGGTTCTGATAGAGGCCATCAGACGGGTCCGGGCTTTCTGCACACATGTTAAGAGGTCTTCGAACACTGAGCTGGTCGCCTTCACCACGATAACAGGCTCCGGTACAGAGAAATGGTTCAATTGTTTGGAAGGATTTCATTCAAATAAAAAATAAACTAAAGAGACATCTTCCCTAAGGAACGAAGTGGCTTTTTCCCTGGGTTTGTTGTTTAATTAGGGAATTGCTAACGAGAAACTAAAGCCGATCCTTGACTCTACACTCCATTCCCCTCCCCGTCCCCAGGACAGCCTGCGGCAAAGCTGACATCTAATGCTTCCAGAGGAGCTGGCAAACTTCACAAACACCAACGAGGGCCTTTTAATGACATCCTTGTTCCCTTGTTTGCAAAAAGGGGGTGTAAACTGTGTGGGGAAAGCAGCTAATGGTTTCAGGAAAACACTAACTAATCTGTTTTATACCAGAAAACCGTGGAATCCCGAGAAAGTGCTCCTTTTTGTCGCCCCATGTAGTCTTATCTTACCAAGAATTCTAGCTTGGCCAAAACATGATTTAGATCGCTAGACACTGAGTTCTCTCACTGGGTAAGATGTTTTAATTATACTCCATATCTTCTGCTTTTGTTTTATTTCTTATTTCCCTGCCTTGGGAGTCGGAGTTAACTCCCCAGGAGTGATCTCATGAGTTTCTTAAACATGTCATTTCTAAAGACTCACTTCATATTTGAATACATTATAAGTCACAAACCACAAAGCACACAGGGACATTAAAGAGAATAAATTAAACAGAGGATGTATTTTATTTTGGACTGATCAGAATGACTCTGTACTTGGAAAGGGAGGAGGCTAAGCATTTTGGCGTGTTTGTGTAAACCAGGCAGATTCTCCCAACATGTTTTCCAATTTTGTTCTATTTTCCTGTGCTCCTGCCTGAGGACATTGACGTCTGGACAATCAATGGCACAGACTTACACATGCCTAGCGTGGAACACAAGGCTGGAAGAGCTGCTGAAATGGTTTAAAAGTTTCTGTGAGGAATCCACCACAAAGTACCAGTTAAAAAGGCCAGGAGCGAAAGCTGAGCTCCCAGATGACTCAGACTAAAAAAAATAATACCCCCAGGCATCTGTGTCTCAGCATTTAAATTATATCCCTTGAAATGCCAATTTGGACTTTGTGCCAAGAAGTAGTTGAAGCCCTTTTTCATGGAAATACCCAATAGAAGACCAATCTGTTTAAATGAAAGGTGTCTCTAATCATTTGGTATAAACATAACATGTTTTTATTTTATTATGTAACCTTGAATTATCTTGGCCCCTAATGAGGATCTTTCATTGTTTCTGATTCTCAATAATTTCATGGAATTATGTTGTCTAAATGTGTATTCTGATGCAAAAAGAAAAAAGAAAAAGAAAAAAACTAATTATTGAAACACAATTGCTTGATCTAGCACATTTTCTACTTTAGAAAAAGTCTGTTATTCATTAAAGAAATAATCTTATGTATAAAGGGTTGTCCCTCAAAGTGCCAAGTCCTCCTGGGGACCCTGGGATAGTGAAAATTGCCAGTAGGTTTGATTCTAAGTCATCTGACAGTTTCCACATTTTCTCCCCTCTGAATTCCAGTCTGTCTGTCTTGTTGTAGGATCAGTGACTATATGGATCTGACCCCTGTAGACATTGTGGGGAAGAGATGCTACCACTTCATCCACGCCGAGGACGTGGAGGGCATCAGGCACAGTCACTTGGACTGTAAGTACCTCTCGTGTGTGGGCACAGGCTAGCTGGTCTTGTCTTTCTGAGACCTGTTTGCTTTCAGTGCCGCTTTCTCCCTTCGCGTCTCCTGTGCACGTTTGAGAGGACTGTCAGCATACGGTGAGAAGAAGTGAGACATCAATCACTTCAACTTACGTTGGAATTAGATTGAAAGTTGGACCTCGGGCCCAGAGAAATTGCTGCATCTTTAGGCGCTCAGCGGGCATTTCATGGTCTCTTGTACCTTCTCTCCCATAAAGTGATGGCGGAACCTTTGTCTTAAGTGCTTTCCTGACCCTTTCATTTTCTAGGGAGCAACTTCCACTCTGAAATTTGTGGTCTTAGTTTCAAAATATACAAGGGAAAAGACAAGTTCAAGCAGGCCAGAGCCTGTAAAATTCCTACTTGACTAGCCACGAAACCAGGGTAAGGGGAAGCCAGGGACAAGGGCAGAGCACATGGTGTGGACACGGTGGCTCTCAAGGGCATTCTTTTCTCACTGTATTTCTGGAAAGAGGGTTATTCAGAGGAGCAGGTACCTCCATCTCCACTCCTGGGAAAAAGAAACTAATCTCAGCTCTTTGAGTCCAGTTCCCAGCTCCTGACCTGCAGGCTGACCTCCAAGGCACCTTTCGTGGCATTGAAGCAAAGCAGGACCAGCAGTTCTGTGGCTGGGTCCAGGTGGTAACCCGCACACCAGCGCCCTCATGAAGTTGCCCTCATCACACTCAGCTGGGCTGTTCACAGTGTGGGCGGACGGGTCTGCCAGCCCCACAAGGCAAGAGGCACTGATCTGGCAGACCTCTCAGAAGGGACTGTCTTCTTCCAACCAGAGGCCCTTTTTATGACCTTCCAACAAGGGGAAGGCCCTGCCAGATTTCTTCCTAGAAGGTTCCGAACCCAGTCCTGAACTCTGTTTTTAAACACATGCAAGGTGCCACAAATGAGATGGTACACCTTGAAGCTGAAGCGGTTTTGTCGTAAAAGCAGCCAGGTAGCCCTTGTATTTCCTCCCCACTCCTTTCCTGCCATGATTGAGGACAACAGTTGTTCACTCATTTCAAACTCAGATCTTCAAAAGGATAACAGTGAGACAGCAAGCTAGCCAGAGGCTCAGAGTGCCAGCATTTTGTGCTGTGTTTTTAACCCTGAACTAGCAACAGTGACCTGGGACCGAGTCAAATCTGTACATACCCTGGACAAAGACTGCCCATGAGGCTGCTCCCCAGCAGAGGCTGCTCCCAGCGCGGAGTGTGTGCCCTGGTATCGCACACCAGTATTTAGGGGACACACTTGTTGCTGTGAATGAATGGGTGTTGTGTATTGCAGAGCAGATGGCTCTTCAATTAATTGGATGTGGGGGGAGGGGGAATGAGGCTGTTTCCTAAAAGGAAACATTAGGGGGTTTTTTGTAGCTGAGAATTTAGAGAAAGTGGAGAAAAATCAGAATCTTTAGAGGAAGCTATTTATGGACCAATATATGCCAGAGAACCCAACTTTCAAAATGAATAAACTGTAGGACACTGTCGTAGACCTTATGTGTAGGGGGAGAGGGGTGCTTTTTCATTTGGGAATCAGGTCTAAATTCAGAAACCTGACGCTGACAAAAAAGAACTTTGTCATCCTTGGTTATTATTTGGAAAACATCATGCTTTCTCTCTGGGATTTGATTTACAGCTTGGAGAAACACAATTCCTCAGGTACAGTGAGCTAGGGCAGTTCATTTCTTCCCATAAAGCAAAGGTCTCCAACAAAATATGTTTGATGCCATTCTTTCCGATCTACTTTTATCTCATTTTCAGTAACCGGAATAATTTGAGAGTGCTGAAAATAGACAACTCTGCCATTCACTATTGTGCTAGTCTCCTAATTTTTCTGGTATCTTGCCAGCTAATAAACAGAGAAGGTATGCTTTCAAATTCTGAGATTTTTTTCATTACTTGATATTGACATACTGGCTATTGCTTTATGATTTAGCCTACTAACAATGATTGAGTTCACTCTTTCAACTCATACACATGACTTCTAATTTTAAATTCTTTTAATAACCTTAAACACATGAAAAACAAATAGAATGAGCTGATAATTCTGCACAGTAAAATACACTTCACATATTTAGCTATCACGCTGTGGAATAACTCCACAATGTCAAGTAGCACACAATTAGTAAAACCGTAGGGGGAGGAAAAGGAGTGTTTTGATCCTGAAGAATTTTGATCCTAATCAGATTGAAATTTCATCGTTCTTGTAGTGCTTAATATCTTCAGTCACACACACACACACCCCCCAAACTGATGCCAATGTCAGGTTTTGCATTCTGTGACCGAAATAAAATGCAAAAATATACAAATGCATCTTGCTTTGTACAATAAACATTAGCATCATTATAAAGTAAGATTGAGTCTAAAATTGTGTCATAGAATGTCCCATGTTTACCTAATTCTCTAACTAAAGCCAGCCCAGTAACAAAATGACAGAGCATGTAATAAATCCTGGTTGTGTAAACATTGGGAGAAAAGGCAAAGCGCCAGCACAGCGTCTTGCTTGTCCACAGCCCTAGGCTGTTGCTGAGGGATGCCTCAACTGTGCCTTCTTGGCAGGAGAAGGTCATGGTGACATAGAATCAGCTCAAGAATAAGATAGAATTCTAAAACAAAGGCATGGTTAAAAAATAAACCACATTAACTATTTAGCTTTTCTTCCTAGAGCTATTGGCACAATTCCTGGTTCTGACCATGAAAGACAGTTTTTAGTTATGTGATGATATTTCTGATACTTTGATATCTGTCTTGTGCTCCAGTTTATGGATAAAACTTTAAAAAAAGACTCAATAGACTTTGATAACCTAAAATGCTATCTTTATCACTTATATCTTTGTTCCTAGCGTAGGCATCTGCAAATCCTTAGGTGAACTTGTCTCTAGAATAAGAAAAGTAAAAGGAAATCTCAGCTGCACCAGCATTTGACAACTTTGATAAATTGAACCAGGAACTTTGGACCATCCGCTCTCCCATTAGGTTAGCACGAGATGCCTAATAGTTCACTGGATTTCAACATAAAGAATCACTAAAACTCGCATTATCTATATCAACATGGTGAGTTAGTGAAATTTTACTGGCATTCTAAAACCAAGGGAGTTTCAGGTCCTCTTTTTTCACACTGTGAGCAAAATCCTCTTACTATTTTTTTCTTTTTGCCACCTGACCGAAGTCATTGACCCCAATCTCATTGATTCTTTAGGCCAAATTGACCAAATCAGCATGTGAAGGTTTTAATTTTAAACCATTCATATTAGCAGTTATTTGAGCATCTTTGCCTCTCACCCTCCAGTTCTCTATTGCTCAGGAGGTACTGACCTCAGATGACTAGTCATGTCACCCTAGAGTCTCACATTCCAGTTACCTAGAGTATCTGAGCCACCCTTGAATGTGAATGGATTAGCACAACCATCTACTACTCTACTTCTACCGGCGCCTGAAAAATGGAAGGGCAAATCGTGAATGCTAAACCAGACCAAGAAAATCGCCCTGCATGTCTCTTTAGTCCCTTTAATCCATCCAGCCTTTAGTCTACAGAAGATCGGAATTTCTCTCTTGAGATACCCCTAGGGTGCTTTCCTGGTCAAATCAGCAACAGCTCTCCAAAACCTGGAAAGAGTGGCCTGAGGGGCACCTTCCTCTACCAGCAAGGCTCAAGGCCCTGGGGCTGTGGGACTTGAGAGGAAAGAAGGCAGAGAGCACAGAGTGGTGGCAGCTCTCCCTCCCGGAGCCCTGCAGGATCAGGGCTATCTCAGAACAAGAGAAGGACCTCCGGCGCGTCCGTAAGATTCTGTAGAGTTAAAAAGCATCGTCTGCCTCATATATTTGGAGGGCATTTAAAACAAAATACAGTAGCCTAAGTGTTTATTTCTTAATTACTAAATTCTATACTTCCCAACAAAACTAATGCGCAGCTACCTGGCGTAATGCACCCCATGCTGCTCTGCATCAGCGCCCCCCCTTTCCTCCTGAAGGCGCCTCGTGGCCAGTGCAGGGGCTGCTTCCTGCAGGACTAATTAGCACATCCCCTTCCCAGCCTCGGCCCCCATTGTAATTCCTTCCCAGCTCATTTTTTTCCACAACGGAGCATCAATCAAAGTAAGTGCCCTGCCTGCCTAGGAAACACAAGATGTCCTCCATGCATTTGTCATCTGCCACACAAACAAAGGGGGAGCTTAATTGCTGATTTGGGTGCCCTGCCACCGCACCCAGCGCCGGGAGGCGGGCAGGGAGGAGGGAAGGCGGCAGGCGGGATGGGCCTGGCCTGCTGGGCGCGGAGCGCAGGGGCCCCTCTTCTCTTTTCTGGTCTCAGCCTTTTCAGGGCTGGCTCTTCAGGGATCTAGATGCAACCTCATCATTGGCTGGACGTTTTTCCCCCAAATCAAGTGATTTTTCCTCCACTAATGTTAGGAATCTGAAAATTCCCAAGCGTGTCATAGCTACCACGTCTGACTTCTTTTTCTTTTTTTTTCTTTTTTAAATATATCTTTATTGATTTCAGAGAGAGGAAGGGAGAGGGAGAGAGAGACAGAAACATCAATGATGAGAGAGTCACTGATCGGCTGCAGCCCGCCACCCGGGCATGTGCCCTGACCTGGAATCGAACCCCAATTGCCTGGATCCCAGGTCGATGCTCAACCGCTGAGCCACACCCGGCCGGGCACATCTGACTTCTTTCAAAAGCCAAGTCAGCCCGTATCGTGTGCCTGTCCACTAACTAAAAAGACTGTCACACGAAGACAAAATAATGCCAGGTTTTTATGCGGGAGTGAATTTGTATTATTATTTGATGTATTTCTTGGTGGGGCAGGGACGGGTGGCGAATGCTGATTTGGGCTTTTCAAGTTCAAGGACAGGCACGCTCAGAGAACAGAGACTAGCAAGGGCCTAACCACAAGCCACCGTCCCTGCTACAGAGCCTTACGGAAATGCAGGCTTCATGCCTACCCCGGGCTCACC